CACAGCCCATCGATGGACGAGGCAGCGACCAAGGAGGAGCTTCGACCGGTCAAGAAGCAGCTGGTGCGTGGATTATCCTTCTTGTCTCGCTTTGCGCGCGTCCTCATGCACGTGCGTAGAAAAACTTGAAGCTTTCTGGGGGCGACATGCCACGGGAAGACAAGGTTGCCATTCTGAAAGAGTCCCTCGCTGCCATCGGCAAGCGCATAGAGCTGGTGCTGCAGCAGAAGGCGGCAGCTGGCGAAGACCGGGATCGATGGCGACGACACCTCTGGACGTAAGTGCCCTTCCTTGCTCTGCCTCTTTCCGCCTGGGTGCTCAAACCGCCGTCGCCCGTCTAGCTTCGTCACGCTGTTCTGGCCCAAGAAGGTCAAGGCTGGGAAACTGGAAGAGATCCATGCGAAGATGGTCAGCAAAGAGGCGCCGCGGGCGTCGTCCGCCGATGCAACAACGACCTCTGCGGCAAAGAAGCCCAGGCTGAGCACTGGTGCTACCAGCCGTGGCAGTGGTGCGCCTTCTCTTCCGTCGGCGTCGACGAGCTCGTCGCACACGAACGGCAAGTACCGGTGACGTCGTCCCGCTCCCTCCCTTCCTCCCTCCGTCTGTCTCCTCTCTTGCTTGGTTACTACTCTACGCGGTCTCCTCCTCATGATCCTGTCACGCCACTGTATCGTTGCACGTTTCCCGCCTTCTCATCATATCTGCTGTACTTTGCCCCGCCGTCTATATACCTTCGTCTAGTACTTACCTACGCTCGAACGCTGCCCTCCGCTTAGTCTCTGGCATGTCATCTTGTTTATCCACTCCGCTCGTACTACGCTACTACTACATGCTCGCCTCGCATCCCATCCGATTTGGAATATCTCCCGCTGTCCGTCCCTCCGTCACTGGTCGGTCCCACTGTCACTTGTTTTCGATAGCACCCCTGCAGAGCGCAGTCCCGTCAGAGAGCTCAGAAGAAGCCCAATCCTGTGTAACATCCGTGTGTCATATAATAGTACAACAATACATCACAATCGCAAGACAACGCCGTGCGCTCCTCTCCATCCCTCCCTCCCTCCCTCCCTCTAACGTCTATCCAAGAAGCCAAGAAGCTGGCGGGTACCGGCGTGAAGTCGTCGTCGACGGTCATGGAAACATGGCATCCTGGCTCGTGTATCGTTCCACATGTACACGCAGGCAGCTGCGAGGAGCGCGCTGAACGCTATGGGTCCGCCTTTGAGGTCGCTGTATGCGCACCGTTGTCCTTGCACGGGCGCTGGGAGGAATCGTCGTCGGCAGTAGTCCTATTTTACACCCAGATGTAGACTGGGGCGGGAAGGGACGTTCGTTGAGCGAAACTGGACGCAAGACACCGAGGCCGGACGGAGCACATACATCGGGGATACTCACTCTCGGCCCTGGACGAAGATGGCCGGCTTGAGGGTAGCGGTGCCGCCGCTCCGCTTCCGGGAGCGAGGGCTCGCACCGACGGTGACACTGACGAGCGGCTGGCCGCTCGCGGACGTTGCACCCCCGCCGGTCGTGGACATGCTCGTCTTGCGCTGGCGGGAATGCGATCGACGCCGCGATGAGCCACCCTGGCCCGTCTGTCCCGCAGGAGCAGCTGCGACCCGGGCGGCTGCAAGTCGCGATGCGGGATTGAGGTGTTCGATGTTCGTCCCGGTCAGACCAGGAGGGACAACATAGCAGCATAGGGACGCACCTTCGACGACCTTAGCGTCCGCCTCCCTGTGGAAGCTCTCCATGAGGGCCGTGTACCGCTTGACCTGCCACGCCAGCTGGCTCGCGCGCGCGACGTTGCCCTGGCTCAGCGCCCACTTGCGCTCCTCCTTGAAGCGGCGCCGCTCCGAGTCGGCGAGGCTCGCGCGCGCGCGGAGCACCGCGACCTCGCGCTCCTGCGGCGTCAGCTTCCCCTCGGGGTCGATCGACGACGGCACCGAGTCGAGCGAGATCGAGGGCGCGGTGCTGCAGTACGTGAGCGTCGGCGTGATCGGGCGCACCTCGCTCGGGCGGCCGTGCCGCTCCCGCTCGTCGGCGAGGTCGACACCGAGACCGCTGGTACCGCGGTGGCGGCGCTCGTAGTCTTCGTGCTCCCGCTCCCGCTCGCGTTCTCGCTCCCTCTCCTTTTCCCGCTCGCGATGCCGCTGCGAGCGTGTGCGGTCGCGCCCGAAGGAGACGAGGCGGATGCGCTTTGGGGGGTCCGGGGGCGGCTCGCGTGCGGCGAGGACGACCGGGGGCCGCGCTGCGACAACGGACTCTGCGCCGAAGCCGAGGCCGGGGGTGCCGTCGACGAACTGGGCGAGGAGGTCTGTGAGGAGGACGCCGAGGGCGACGCCGAGGACGGTGCACGCTGTCTGGACGACGTCTGCGAGGCGGACGAAGTCGATGACGAGCTTTGCGGCGACACCGACGGCGACGACGACGACGGCCTGGGGGATCTGGGTGAGGGTGTTGTGGACGAGGACGCCCTGGAAGAGGCCGTTGAGGAGGAAGTCGGGGGTGGAGGCGGAGTGGGAGGGGTCTGGGAGGAGGGTGTTGATGAAGACACGGGCGCCGAGGGCGAGGAGGAGAGGGAGGCCGGTGGTGAGTTGCATGCAGAGGCAGAGAGCTCAGAGACGCATGAGACGGATATCCGCTCCAGGCTTCGGCCCCGCGACAGCGAGCACGAGGGCGCGAACGACGAGTGTGAGACGTAACCCGACAGCCGCCCGCGCGCCATGTTCAACTCGACAATACGCGAGGCCCGCACGTGGGAATCGCGCCTATCGCGCCATTGTCCTCCGCCCTCCAACTGTTTGGCTAGCACTCGGACACACAGAACGTCGAGATGCAGGCGAGCCGAGCATGATTAACACGCACACTAGCATACAGAACCAATCGCACATATATCGATACAAATGTCCCATGCACAACCCGCGTAGCTCACAACTCCGTGTCCACATAGTTGGCCATAGGATCCTCCGTCATACGTCGTGTCATCCGGTATGCCTCTGCAAGTCGCAGTCAGAGAAGCCCATACATCTACGAAGGAGGATCAGACTCACCAAGCTCCTCTTCGGACACCTCGTAGCTCGAGCCCAGTCCGCCCTTCTGCTTCTTGCCGGAGCGGTCATCGTCGTCTCCTCTGTTCTTCCGTTTTCGCTCCTCGCTCAAAGCCTGGGCGAGCTTGTCTCTGTTCAGCGACAGGTCGCCCTCGCCTAGCCGTTTCTTCGAGTAGAGCTCCTCCGCCTTCTTCTTGCGCTCCTCCGCACTTTCCGTGGGCACCGGTGGCGGGGGCATGGCCGACGATGCGGAGGATTCCAGGAGGTTCTTCGCACTCGAAGCTTGTGCCGCAACGATTCCAGCCTCGCCAGTACAGTACGACATGTGCACCGAAGAGTGACAACATGCGTAGCCCCATGTCCCGCTTGCAATGTCGTACCACGAGCCCCACACAGCTGTGTGGTTGTTGACATAGACTACATATACCGCATGTCAGAAACGGTGGAGAGTAGCATGACAGATAGCACGTACCATCCTCGGGGTACTTTGACCTCGTTTTCGCCCGCTCCTTGCCCTTGATGACCTGGCCCGTCCGCGAGTATTCGACGTACTCCTCTGTTTGGCCCTGCAGCAGCTCTTTCGGTGCCTTCTCCAGGTATTCCGCGCCACCATACTTCGACAGGATCGACACCTTCGTCGTGTCCTTGAGCTCCTCTTTCTTCTTCAGGTACTGCTGGTGGAGGAGCTGTCCCTGCGTCGGGTTGGCGTTCATGTGCACGTCGTTCCCTCGGGCAGCAGCATTCCACGCGAACAGTTGCAGCTTCTGGACCTCGGGAGCCTCACCAGAGAACCGAAGGAAGTTCTCGCCGGCGAACCGAGCCTACATGCCTCTTGTTGAGGGGAGCATTCGGGAGGGAGGACAGAGCACCAGCGTGACTCACCTCTTCTGGCGGCACCCCCCTCAGCGGGTTGTCGCGCATCGACCGAGTCTTGGGGTCATAGTATGCACTCGACGGGTCCAAGTTGATGAGGTACTTGGCCGTGTCCTCCCGGATACGCAGATTCCGCACCGTGATGCGCGTCTTCGTGTCCAGCTTCTGCCCCACCGCGTCCGCCGCCTCCGCATACTTGTCCCCGTCCTCGTCCTCGTCGTCGCTGCTCCCAAAGTCGTCGTCCCTCTCCGCCTTCTCCTGCCCCACCTTCGCCACCTTCCGCACCGCCGCCAGATCCGTCGTCGTCCGCTTGTCGATCTCCTCCTCCCGCTGCCGCTGCCGCGCCGCCTCCAGCGCCTCGTACTCCTCGTACACCCGCCGGTGCTCCGCGGGGTCGTACCCGTTCCACCTATCGCGCTTCGCGTCGTACCCCGTCGCGACCTCCTGCACGACCTCGTCCGGCGCGATGTCCCGGTTCGTGAACTTTGCGCCCTTCTTCCGCGGCCGCTCCAGGCAGTCCTGCCGCTTGTGCGTCATCGCCCCGCAGTTCTCGCACGCGCCCTTGCGGTACTTCTTCGCCGCAGGCCCCGCCTTCGCCCCCCGGTCGTACCAGTTGTCGAGCTTGTCCGCCGAGCGGTCGTACTCGGGGATCCGCTGGTGGCTGAGCGAGGGCGCGCCAGTGTCGAGGTACCATGGTGCTTGGGCAATGTATTCTGCGTGGCGGTGTGGAATCAGGAAGAGCAGTACGCGGCTAGACACTACAGGTCTTACGTGGGATGTGAGGGTTGATCGGCTTGCCCTCCTCATCGAGAGCAGCAGGAGCGGTACCAGCTTTCCGAGCTGCATCAAGGTCTTTCTGCCGTCTGAACTCTTCGCGCGAGAGCTTCCCTGTAGCTTGATTGGCAACAGAGAATGAGCAGATGATAACAACTTCGAAGAGGGGGCAAATAGACAAACCTGAGGCTGAAGCCATGATAAATAGTCGACAAGGTGGTGGTGGCAGAAGGCAAGATGGCCTGGGTCAAGCGCCCGATTACAGGAGTATCATTCACGCGTATGTAAACCTACAAAAAGTACAGAGAATGACAGTGACGAGATTCGAACTCGCGCGGGAAACCCATCACGGTTTGGGAACATGCCTAAACGTGACGCCGTAACCACTTGGCTACACTGCCCTACAACTCAACCAGCATAGTGAATCCATATCTGCGCAAACCCATTGTGCCCTTCAGCAGGGGTGCTGTCTATGATTACAGGTAGGTTGTTCTGTCCAGGACAGGAGCTAGAGGACAGTATTACGTATGACAAGGCACAACAGAGCGCGAAGGGGATAGTGACGCGACAGGAGCAGACACACTACACAAAGAGGACCAAGCACAAGCGGGACAGTCACGATGTGAGAACAGACAACTGGATGATACAGGGCGCATCTGCGCGAAGCTTTGTATGTCCGTACCAGATACCGATGCATCAGAGAGCACACGGACCCTAGGCATCCGCGGTGATAGACAGACTGGCCATCGATGCATCCAACGACGACGGGTGCTCGCTCCGGCTTGAGCTTGGTCTTGACGAGCTAACGAGGGCGATCAAATCAGCTCGAATGACAGGACCGAAGTCATGACGGCGCTCGTACCTATCTCCTGGCTTCCTGCTCTTGGGCCATCCCCACACTTTGCGCATCCAGTACGCCATGTCAAGTTTGTGCTGCATGACATTGATAATCCAGGGATGCTCGAGCATCTCTTTTGGCGAGGGCCGGACTTGGGCATCTCGGGTCAGTCTATATGGCCACACCAATCAGCTCTACTGGCGAGGATGGAACGTCGTCAGAAGAAACTCACGCTTTCTTCATGAAGTCCTTCATCTCTGGACTGTACACGATCTCCTCCTCATCCTCAAGCTCGGGAGGCTGATCGTGAGAGCATAACAAAGAGACGACAGATGGACATCAAGGCACAAAGCTCAGCGTACGGCACAGGTGCCACGAAACGGAACCACATACCTCATTCTGGAGGATGTACATCATAAGCTCGATCGCGGCGAGATCGGTAGGGAATGGGAACCGGTTTGTCACGAGCTCAAGCAGTGTAATGCCTGTGGACCAAACGTCTGATCGAATGGTGTAGTCGTTCCCGGACAGGCGTTCCGGCTGTGACACGATCACGGAAGATGAGCAACAGCGTCTCGCGCTGTCTGGGCAGGACAAATCACTCACGGCCATGTAGAGACTGGTCCCAGTAAACGTCCCAGCGACGGAGTTAACCAGCTCGCCTGACACACCGAAGTCGCAGAGCTTGACGACGCCCTCCCGCGTGAGGAGGATGTTCGGCGGCTTGATATCGCGGTGGATCGTCTTGAGAGAGTGCAAGTACGCGAGGCCCTGGAAGATCTGCACATCCCAACCAAGTCCGGTCGCAGTCAGCATCCAGCGTCTGCACCATGACAGGCCCGTTCGATCGGCGTTGCGCAAGCGACCTCGCCGCAACCCAGGCTGAGCAGGACGAGCTACGTACCCCTTCTGCGAGCCGCCCAGCAACCTTCTCGCCGACCCTGCCGCCGATCTCCCGCATCCGCTTCCCGACCGACTCGAGCGAGCCTCCCTCGCAGAGCTCCATGAGCACCTTGACTTCGCTGCTGCTCGGGCTGATGTACGCGCCAAAGAAGTGTATAATGTTGACGTGCGAGGTGCTGGACGTGATCTTGATCTCGCGCAGCAACTGCTTCATCGGGGCCTCCAGCGTCGTGATACTCTTGCGGGCCATCACCAGTCCCGTTCGGCGGTCGCGCACCTTGTAGACTGCGCCGCCCGCACCCTCCCCGAGCCGGGTCAGCTCCTCGAGCATATCGTCAGACCACTGGTCAAAGTCCTCGACGGTCTGTCGGATATCGTTCATCGAGACGGTAGGCGGCGGCCGTGGGCGCGGAGAGATGGTTTGGTCCGGTCGTATTGTGGGCTCGCTGGTGCTGTCGACGTTGATTCGAGGGCCTTGTGCGGGCGAATCTTGTGGTTTAGGACCGCCTGCATAGAGATCGAAGGAGCCGCCATTGAGGCTGTTGAAGTCAATCTTCGGGAGGGCAGGTTTTCGGCGCGGCGAGGAGCCGGGCATCGGCGAAGACCCAGGCATCTGGAGGGAGAGGGTTGGTGTGGGTGTCCTCGGCGGTGGCTGCGAGCTCCCGGGAGGTGAGAGAAGGCTGGAACCATTTGGCTGATCTCTGGAGACTTTGCGGATGTTCAGAGGGGCCACCTCTTGCGGGCTGGAGTATGGGTGGGGCGAGGCGGAGCGTTGGAGGACGCGAGGGCCGATGGGCCTGGCAGGACTGGGATGGAGCGACTGCATGGGTCGGACGGTGAAGACGATGGTCGCGGTCTGAAGCTTGCGACGGCTTCCTGGACCTACTTACTGACAGGCGTCTGTACACCAGCAGCACCCACGTGGACGGGACCGCTCTCCCGGGTCTCGTATCGCCGCCCACCAGGAGCGTGCGATGCCAACAAGTGACCCGGAAATCGTCGCACTCCTCCACGCCGACCGGCGCACCCCCGCATGCAAAGAAAGGCCGATGACCTCGATTGCCAATCGTCTCCATATCCTCTAGGCATCGATACACGACGTGCAGATCACATGCGGCTTCTATACACAGTCCTTGCACCGAATCCAATGACACCGAATCGATGGAACTTGCGCAACACACGCTGAATTGAGGCGAAACAGGAGGAACCACAACGTTCTGGACTCGGTCGCGATACTGAACACATTCTACTCGCTGCGGAACCTGCGCGGAGATACGCGTTATTTCGTCAGCGCAGCACTCGCGGGACCGGATAGAGACCGACTCACTCTTCGACCTTATTCACGACTTGACCACAATCCCACCATCTACTCTTTCCGCCCCGCCGCGAGGCTTTCTACCGCGCCCGCCGCGCTTTTGACCCCTACCGCGACCGTTCTCACCACGCCGGCCACCGTCATTGTTAACGTTGTTGCTGCCCTGGCGACGAGAGGCTTCTTTGACGGACTGTGGTTCGCTGTGAGGAACCGGACCGGAGTTCGTCGCTGGATGTTTGACGCCAGGGGTCATGTTGCGCGCCTTCTGGCCAGAGACTCCCATGCCATCCGTACTGTAACGCGATCCGAGAGTGTCGCCCAACGAGCCAAGCGACCCGGCATTCGCATTCGCCCGACTGCCAGGTGATAGGAACAGATGCAATCCAGAAGAGCCGCCAGGAGAGGGTTGTACACTTCCACGGCTTGGGGGTGGCGGAGTCCGTCCATCCACACTAGACGCATAGTCTTCCTCGGGTACAGTCGACAGTCGACGCTGAACAAGCCTGCTCAGCGGAATGGAGCGCATTTGCTGAGGTAGACCGAGGCTCGTCGTAACTTGTTGCGAGGGAGGCGAAGAGGGCGGATCCATTGAGTGTGCGATGGGGTCCAGACGCCGCGCGCCGTAACTCATTCCATGCGGGGTGTTCGGCGGCACCCTTGGGGCTGAAGGAGACACCGCGGGGTCATGCGGTGCATGTCGAACTGGAGAGGTAGAGGTGTATTGGTGCAGTTGATGGTCGTCCGGTACAGCACGACGCCGAGCATACTCAGCAGCTAGACGAGGAGGGAGCTTGTGACCGGAGAAAGTGCTGATATGCGCAGCAGGAGCAAGACGAGGCAGGCGGCCGTCCGAGACAGAGTTGACGATGTTCTGCCTGAGCAGTTGCTGAGCAGGATCCATTCTGGGAGGGATGTTTTGCGACGAGAGAAAGTGGGAGTTGATCTGAGACAATCCAGCTGCTGCGAGTAACTCGGGCGACAGAAGCCCGCCTTGGTATGGAGAGAACGCAGAAGACCAGATTGGCGACGTAGAGTTCGGCGGCGTAGGCAAGAGATTCTGCTGGAGTTGTTGCTGACGATACTTCTGAGCGATGTCCAGCGCAGAAGCACGCGCAATCTGGGGATTAGCGTACTGAGTAGCGAGATCCTCGAGAACAATAGGAGAGCGAGAAGATTTGAGAGCGTCAAGCAAGGACGACCCAGAAGAAGATGCAGAGATAGAGCCTGCCAAGTAGTCGTTCGTAGCCAGAGATGAATGAGACAATCCATGGGATCTGAGACGTTCTTGCGCGAAGAGCATTGCTTGAAGTTCAGGACTGAGGTCGTGTATCAATTCGGGAGTAGGCAAGCTGTGCGTGTATGGTGTCTGCCAGCCGGCGCCTTGATGATGGTAGTCGTGCGCCATATCACGGCGAGGTAGAGCGTCTTCCGCTACCAAGCGACCCAAGTCGATAGGCTCCGAGTGTTTCAACATGAAATCAGGAGGCTGTGGAAGCTGAAGCTGCTGGGCTGGCGGAGGTATAGGGGTCGCGGCGTTGTGGATCGGGTGGGGCGGACGTCCGACATTTGGTGGAACGACAAGTTTCGCATGTGGGACAACCGCGGGCTTTCGGTCCTGGTTCACTCTCGCACCAGGACGAGCAACATCGTTGGCGAGCTGAGGCGGGGGTTTGGACACGCCAATGTGAGAACTCTTGGACTTCGAATGCGACCGCGTGGCGGCAGACGTCTCGTCGCTCTCGAGACCCCAGATAACGCGAGGCAGACTCTCGGGCTCTTCGATAATCGTCCCTTCCGCGCCGCTAAACGAAGATGAGCTCAACATCAATGGAGATGGGGGCAGCATACGTACGAAGGGCACCGCGCATAAGGCAATGATAAAGGACCGTGCAAAGCCGGTATCGGTCGGGGAGGAGACTTCGCCCAGGTAATCCAACCTAACAGTCTATTCGTACCTTCGTGCAACTTGTCATAAACACGGTTACATACCTTCGTCGTCGGATTCAGGAGGTTCTTCTTCGGCCCGTTGCCGCAGGAACACACTTGATAGCTGATTACTGTTGTTCGCGATGATTACCACGGAATCTGGCGACGACGGCGTGGAGGGTGTATGAGGAACATCTGTTGCGTGGGACCGGACGCGAACGCGGCTGCGTTCCTCGTCGTCAGATACGAACGGATCTCCAGTGCTCTCGTTGGTGTCGATGGATGTGTCTCGAGGCGTAGCGGAAGGCAGGGAGACTCGTCCTTTCTTCTTTTCCAGGACCCGCCTCATGCGGAACGCAGGGGTTGCCTCGGGTAGGGAGATGACTCGAGACGAGGGTTGCCGGTTCATCAAGGTGGTA